CTGACCTACCTGCAAGGAGGTCCCCATTCCAGTATAGAACAGCCTCAATCTTCTTGTTTGTTTCTGCCTACAATGTCTCTCCCCTTTCTCCTGCAGTTAGTGGTTTGACTAAAAGAGCCAGTGCAAAGTCTCTGTGCCCCACTTTGTCACATGCCTGATGTGAAACAAGCACATCTCTTCTAAAGTTGTTAGAGCAGAACAAAATGGAAGTTGTTTGGAAATTGGGGATGATGAAGGTTTGGTGTTTGATTATTTGCTTATTTGCTTCTGGGAGCTGGTTTATCAAGAGCAGAAGGTTCACAGGAGTACACACCAGTAGGTCTATGTCCACTTTTACTCCTGTCCCCTGGGGCCGCTTGTCCACCCCCCTATGCACCCATCTAATTATTCCTAATCGTTTTTGTGTACTCTCTTCATTTTTCAAGGTACTCAATTCTGCTGATGACAAATTTATCTCTGGTTTTCTGATTTAATACCTAATTACTTTTTTCTTAAGGCTTGACCAGAATTTCTAGAACATCGTTAAATAAATGTTGTTATAGAAGGCAAACTTATTTGGTTCCTGATTATATTGGGAGATTTTTGCTGTTTGTTGTTAGCTGTTGGTTTGATATATTTTTAACCATGTCAAGAAAGTATCCCTCAATTCCTACTTTGTTTCCATTAGGACTGAACATTTAATTTTACCACATGCCTTTTAGACATCAACAGATGTCTAAATCCCCATATTGATTGTTTTTCAGTTTGGGTTTGTTTGTTTATTTTTTTGGACTTCTCGTGTGCTGTGTCATTACATTTCCCAATAGTAAAACACATTCTTGCATTTCTGTAATAAAATCGATGCAGTCCCTGTATAGTATTTGATTCTGTATCTAAATTCAAAAGCAAAGTGACACTGGACTATAGTTTCTCTCCTTAGTATTTTTTTAAACAGGTAATGCATACACATGGTCCAAAAATCAAAACTATATAAGATAATGTATCCTGAGAATTTTCACTCCTACCTCTGTTACGAATTATCACATTCTTTCATGCCTCTCATAGGTAATCATTTTTACCAGTCTGTTTGGATCCTCTCAATGTGCCTTCATGCAGATACAAGCAAATGCAAATATACATTCTTCATTTCCCCTTTATTACACAAGAGATAGCATATTATAAATATTACAATGCAACATCTCTTTTTTTCCCCTGAACAAATATATCTTGGAAGTCCACCGTATCAGGACATGGAGAGCTTACTCATTCTTTTTACACAAGTGCATACTCTTCCTTTGTATATAACAGTTCAGTTCACTCTCTCTCATCAGGGACATTGGTTCGTTTCAATATTTTGAAACAATGCTGGAATGTATAACCTGGCAATTAAGGCATTAGGTGTTTATGTAGGTATGTCTGAAAGATAAATATCAGAAGTGGGATTGCTGGGTGAAAGGTACATGTGCTTGCTATTTTGAAAGATTTTGTTCCCTGTAGGAGTTTTACCATATTGCACACCCACCAGCAATAAGTAAAATGTTCTATATCTTTATTGGTTCACCAATGACTATTGTTTGACTTTTAAATTTTGCCATTTTTATAGGAAAAAGAGAGCATCTCTGTGTTTTAATTGGCCTTTCTTATTATGAATGAGATTTAGCAGCTTTTCTTATATGTAAGAGCTATTTGTCTGGTTTGTTTTGTGGGGGTTTTTTGTTTTGTTTTTTCGTAAGCAGTTTGTTTGTGTCTTTTATCCATTTCCCTATTGGCATAGTTTTCTTCTCAATTTCTAGGAGATTTTCGTTGTTGTTGTTTTTTTTTATATGAGCTACAAATAGATTGTCCCAGTTTGTTATTTGTCTTTTGACATGCATATGATCTTTATCTGTAACTGAATTTATCCATCTTTTCTATTGTGGCTTCTGGAATTTCAAGTCACAAAAAGAGTTTGCCTACACAAAGGCTTGAAAGGATTGCTCATATTTTCTTCTAGCATTTTCAATGTTTTATTGTTTTCATTTAAATACTTGATCCATTTGAGTTTTTCTTACTAATAGGATGTGTCTTTATTATTTTAATTATTAAAACCTTATAGTATTTTTAATGTCTGATAGGGCTAATCCCTTCCATTGCTTTCTTTTTTCCCTTTTCTTGGTGATAATTGTTTTTGCACGATTTTAAAAACAACCTAATTCCAACAAATAAATCAACAAATACACTCTGCTTTAATTTTATTGAATATTAAATGTATAAATTAACTTCAGCATTGACATAGTCATAATGCTGAGTGTTTTATCTAAAAATATAGAATGTTTCTCATTTGCTCTTATGCCCGTCAGGAAGGGTTTCAAATCTTCCTCATATGATTTTGGTATCATTTCTTCTTAAATATATTTCAAGATTTTATTTTAGTTTATTGTAATGGGGTTTCATTATATCTTCTGACTAGTTGTTAATTTTATATTGGAAGGATATATTGATTTTATTCTCCACCAACTTAGTGAATTCTCTTCTTGATATTAGTAATTTTTCAGTTGTTTTTGGTTTTCCCAGACACACAATCATATAATTTTTAAAGAAATTTATCTCATCTTTTTCTATTTTCCTACAAATAATTTTTTGCCCTTTCCTAACTGCTTTTATTAATAACTGCAGTACAATATTTATAGTAAAGCAGGGGTGGTGGGCTTACTGCTTTTGTTCCTGATTTTAACAGAAATTACTCCTGTTTCCTTTATGAAGGGGAAGTAAGTTTTCTCCATAAACATGCATAATGCACAACTATTCCTATTTTATTAATGTTGTTTATTTTTTAATCAAGAATTATAAATGTTGTTAATGGCCTTTTCAGCATTTGTGGAGATAATCATATGAGGTTTCCCCTCAGTTTTACTAGCATAATTATTCATATTAATACATTTCTTATTTTTAAACCATCTTTACTTTTTAAAAAAATAAATTGCACTTGATTATATTTTTTTCTTCTGCTGCTGGATACTGTTTGCTGATATTTTATTTAAAAATCTTGGGGGACTGTGGGGTAGGGGCTGACACAGGCCGGGAATTGAAGAGCTTCTGGAAAGTGCTCTCGATGATTTTGATAAGGCCAGACCCTCCGCAGGACCCCCTCCTACCACCACGGCCCCTGATGCTTCAGGGCCCAGAAGAGGTCGCCAGGAGACACTGCCAAAGATGCCCTCTTCGCCTCCCAAGAGCAGTTTTTCCAGGAACCATTAGACAGAGAGCTGGCTTCCCAAGCCCCTGCAGAGTTAGAAAAGGCAATGAAGGAGTTGGCTGAGGAAGGGCCCCACCTGGCGGAGCAGTTCCGAAAGCTCCCAGGCTGCTGGAAGAGTGAGTAGCGATGTCACTTCCCAACAAGAATCCACTTCTTGCCTAAAGGAGACACGAAGTGGACTGGCCAAAAACGCCCCTGATGCAGAACTCAGGCATGTCAGAAGAGGAGCTGGCCAAGGCCATGGAAGGGCTGGGCATGGAGGAAGGGGTGGTGAAGGGAACATCCTCCCCATCATGCAGGGTATCCTGCAGAACCTACTGTCCAGGGAGGTGCTGTACCCGTCACTGAAGGAGATCACAGGAAAGTGTCCAGAATGGTTGCAGAGTCACTGGGAATCTCGACCTCCAGAACAGTTTGGAAAATATCAGGAACAGCGCAGTGTCATGGGCAAGATGTGTGAGCAGTTTGAAGCAGAGACAGACGCCCACAGGCAGTGAGGTCACTCAGAAGGCTCATTTTGAGACAGCGCTGGACCTGATGCTGCAGCTACAGGATTTGGGCCCTCCTCCAAAAGCGCTGGCTGGGGAGATGCCTCCTGGCCTCAACTTTGACCTGGATGCCCTCAATCTGTCAGGCCCACCAGGTGCCAATGGCGAACAGTGTCTGATCATGTGAAACACAACACGTTTCCTCCCTGATTGCCAGCCATGGGGAACGTCTGGAGAACCAGCGGGAGCTGAGGCAGAAGTGTTGTCGTGGGAGGGGCCTGCCCGCTGCCCTGTCATCCCACCCAAGATGGTGCCATACCAACTGAGGCTTTCCCCCTGACTTCCTAGGAATAAGACCTGTTCTGTGAGCCCTTTTGATGTGGTTCCTGCTGCTAGCAAAGGCCCAGCTACCTACCAGGTGAAGGCAGGCATCCCTTGTTCTATTTGGCCACATTGAAGTTCACCGTTGTACCCAGGGTCTTTGTGCCTTGTCTCCACTCCCCTTTCTTGATCGTGGAGAGCAGAGACAGAATCTCGTACTCTTATTTCAGTTCTCTTGGGCGGGGCCTTTGGAAATGAATGAGGAGAAACTTAGCCTGGGCTGGAGCTACAGGCCTGTCACCGAGCCCTCTTGCCTTCAGGCAGACCTTTCTGAATTCCCTGAAGGGAAAGGAAGCAGAGCCTTTTGCCTCTATTCACCGTGGGGTTGAAAAAGCCCTGGGATTCTCCTCTCTCAGGTGCTGAGTCCTCAACTCCCTTTTTCTTTCTACCATGCGAGGTGGTCAGGGTGACCAGTCTTTGACCTTCCTTTGCCTCTCCTTCTATCTCCCCTCTTTCAAAAATACTTGTTTATCTCAACCCTTCCCTGAGCCCAAACTGTGACAAAGAAAGGCCCATCCTGTTTCCCCTCATCTAGTCCATCTACCATTCGCACTGGCCCCCTCCTCTCCTTGGCAAACACATGTGATTGTAATGTCAGGTCTCGGGAATGAAGATTGTTCTTCCCCAGATACATTCTGGCTTATTTGAAACAACTCCTCTGAGTCCTGTCCCCTGATTCGGGAAGTGGTTTGGGAAAGGGTGGGGTGCAGGCTGAGCCCTTTTTCCAGACTAATAAATATTTAAGTTAGGAGAAAAAAAATAAAAATCTTGATCAATGTTTATAAATGAGATTAGTCTCTGGGGGTTTTGTGCAGTATTTTCAGATTTTTGTAATTAATGTTGTACTGACTTTATAAAAATATTTTTTTTCCTTTCCTGCAGTTTGCTTTGCTGTTCATTTCCTGACTTTTTGCCTTAATGTATTTACATTCTTTCTTTTTTAACTGATATAATCATTTATGACTGCAAATGTTCCCTGAGCATTCATTCATTCCTATATCCCCTGGGGTTTGCTATGTAATGTTCTCATTATTGTTTCCTAGAAAGTTTGCAAATGCATATCATGCTTTTTATTGAATACTTTAGAGGAGTTATTGTTGTTGATTTTTTCCCCCAAATAAGGAATTTTCTGTTTTGTTATGCTAGTACTCATTTTTAATTTTATTTCATTGTAATTAAAATTTGTTATATGCTGGCTTTAGTTTTTGGAATATTTTGAGAGTTGTGTGTGTGTGTGTGTGTGTGTGTGTGTAGCTGGAGAGTAAAATTTTGTACATGTTCTAAAAGAATGTACATTCAGTACTTTTAGGGTACAAATTTCAGTTGAAATCTATAAAAAATAGCTTATTTGTTAGGTCTTTTTATCCTATTTTTTTGTATCTCCTTTTTCTGTCTCAGATTGAAAAAGGAGAATTAAAGTATCTTATAATTTTTGAGTTTCCATTTCATCTATAATTTCAGCTTTGTAAATGTGTTTGCTATGTTATTTGGATCATAGATATTTATAACTACTTCATCTTTTCTTATTCCTAATTTTAATATTTTTGTTTTCTCTTTTCTTCATGTTTAGAATATAACAAACTTTGCCTATTACATTTTCAAAAAAAAAACACACAAAACAGCCCTTGAATTTACACATTAATCCCATAATTTTTTGTTCCTTAATTTTTTAAATGTTTGTATATTCATTTTATATTGCTGCCATAAGAAATCAACCACACGCCTCGTGGTTTATAATAAAACAAATACATTATCTCTGTTTTTGTAGGTCAAAGGTCTGGGAGGACTAGGCTGGCTCCTCTTCGAGGAGCGCACAGGCTGAAACGGACGTGTCAGCAAGGCTGTGTTCCTTTCGGGAAGGCTCTGGGGATAAGCCCTCTTCTAGGCTCATTCATAAGTGTTTGGCCCAACTCCATTTCTGGAAGTTGCAGGTCTGAGGTCCTCGCTGGCTCTCAGTTGGGGGCTGATCTTCCTCCAGCTACCTGTCTACCTTCTGATGTTTTCAATGTCATCTCTCTCCAGCAATAGCAGATCAAATTCATCTCACACTTCAAATCTCTGACTCCAAGTAGAAAACAATATCTGCTTTTAAGGGGCGCAGGTGGTTAGATTGGGCCACTTAGAGAAGACAGTATAGTCTCCCCATTTCAAGGTCTGCAACCTTAACCACAACTGCAAGCCCCTTTGGCCATCTGACATGACATAGTCACAGGGCCCACAGAGAAGGCCTGGATGTCTTTGTGAGACATTCTGCCTTCCACAGTTAGTCAGCTGCTTCCTCCTGCTTTCCTTTGGTTAAGTTTATTACCCTCCTTTTAATTTTGTGGACTGAACGATTCGTTTATATAGCTTCATTCTGCCTTGTATAATTATGGAAACCTTTAATACCACAAATTTACCTCTATAGATGTTCTGTGTCCTTTTGATATGTAATGTTCTCATTATTCTTTCCTAAATTACAATTGCAGGGTTGATTTATTCTTTGACACTTGTGTTAGTCCTGTGAGAAGTAAATACCATTAAGGAATTACATGTGCAAGAGATTTATTGAGAGGGAAAAAAACTGAAGGAAATGGGGAGGGAGCAGGAGGAGATGGAGAGAGATATCAGACTGCAATACAGGTCTGACTTCCGTGAAAAAGATGGGGAAGGAAGGCCCTAGAGCAGTGGTTCTCAACCTTCCTAATGCCGCAACCCTTTAATACAGTTCCTCGTGTTGTGGTGACCCCCAACCATAAAATTATTTCGTTGCTACTTCATAACTGTAATTTTGCTACTCTTATGAATCCTAATGTAAATATGAATTGTAATGTAAATAAATATGTAGGATGTATTTTCATTGTTACAAATTGAGCATAATTAAAGCATAGTGATTAATCACAAAAACAATATGTAATTATATAGGTGTTTTCCGATGGTCTTAGGTGATCCCTGTGAAAGGGTCATTCGACCCCCAAAGGGCTCGCGACCCACAGGTTGAGAACCGCTGCCTTAGACTGAAACCCCATGTTAACGAAGTTTCTTCAGGTTCCCTGAGCCAGTCACTCATCAAAGGAATACTACTCAGGCATTGGCTGGAGCAGCCAGTGGGAAGTGTACATGGTGATCGGTTTTAGGCTCAGCAGTCAAGGTCATTGGCCAATTATTCTCCTTGTAATAGGAGATCTGAGGCAACATTTTCATGTGAAACACTGGAATTAAACAACATAATTAAGTGGGGGGTTTTATTCAGATGATCAGAATTTTTTTTTCTTTTTACTTATTTAGTTCTAGTTTCAGTGCAGTATAGTTAAAGTTAATGTCTGTGCTTTTCTTCTTTTGGAATAATTTGAAAGTTTCTTTATAGCCACGTGTGCTTGGTTATTGCTAATGTTCAGTGGGCACTGGGAAAGAATAAATGTTTGCAAGTCAGATTGGTATGTAAATCTACTAAATAAACTTTTATTTTTCATATCTTTCTATATCCTTATTTATATTGTACTTATTTGACCAGTAAAGAGTCAAGAAAAGTCATTTAAGATCACTAGTATATCATTTCTGTTAGTTTATCTTTGTAATTCTTCAACTGCTAGTTTTTAGTTCAAAATGTAAGGTAAATATAGGTTCAAAACTTTATTTTTCACTGTGAATTCTACTTTTAATCTATTGAAGTGTCTGACTTTGTTGATTTAACATATTTTGCCTTGAATCATATTTTATCTAACAATACTGCCTGGCCTGCTTTCTTTTTCTTTGCTTTTGCCAGGCATGTACTTGCATATTATTTTTACTGTTAAAGCAATCCTGCCTTTTAGTGTGCCTCCTATCAAAAACCTGTTTTAAATGTGTCTCCTATAAATAGCCATCCATGTGCTATTGGTTTCCCACCCAACATTTATCTCTTCCAACCCTCCCATAGCCCCCCCTTCCTCTTCTGAGAGAACTCTGATTTTGTTAAGTGGCTGCTCTCCTCCAGGTGACCCTCTGTTGCAGGAGCGAAGTCTGTGTGGCCAAAGCCAATCATGGAGCTTCATTCTCCTTCACAGTGATTACTTAAGGCTTGAGTATGTCTAGATTTTCCAATCCAATCTTTTTACCTAAAGGAATGTCCTCAATGTTTCTGACATTGTAGAAGGCACTCCCATCCTAGCTGTATGTGCCCTACAGTCATTTCACTTGGGATTCACTTGTGCTCATGTCAGAATCTCTCCGGGAAATTCCTGAGGCCTCATCTTAGGCCACTCATGTGTGTTTTTCTCAGACCCTGATTGTACATTTAAACACGTATTCAATAAGTATTTTGTGAATATTTACCATTGGCCATCTAATGTGCACTGAGGATATAGTGGTGGTAGAGGACATAGTGGTTTACATTGTAACTGGGAAGACAAAGTAAAGAAATAATCAAATTAACAAATAGTTAGCCAGTGTGTGTCAGTGGTTGAGCAACCAAAACAGGAACCAAGAGGTCACCGGTTCGATTCCTAGTCAGGGCACATGCTCAGGTTGCAAGTTACGATCCCTAGTAGGGGGCATACTGATCAATGATATCTCTCTCTATATATATATACCTTTCTCCCTTCCTCTCTCTAAAAATCAATAAAAACATTATTTTAAAAAAGCAGCAAATAGCCAAGCAAACTAG